TGTCATCATGACGTCAGAATAATATGCATCACTAGGGATGAGGATCAATTGTGCTGAAAGTTACAAGTTCATACCATATACCGTTTAGGAGAAAACCTGCGAAGAATTTTTGTCAGGAAAGAAAGAAAGAAAGAACTAAAGAACGAAAGAAGATTTATCAGAACCATTCTAAACAGTGATCGGGTTGTGCCCGACCACCCAACTAGTTTGAACCTTTTCTCATTATGGTAGATAACTCTATCTTACCTCACAGGCGTAGCTAGAGGGGGAGTAAGGGGGATATTTAACCCTCCACAATATTTTGTAAAGACTGCCCTTTTCCATTCAAATGCCCTTTTTTTTCACCAGCGTTCCCCCCCCCCATTTTTTTTAAAGTGCCCTTTTTATACGAAATGCCTTTTTTTCTGAACAAGTGCCCTTTTAAAAATGAAGTGGTGCCCTTTTTTGTGCCTTCTGCCTTTTTGGGCCGATGCCTTTTTAGTTGAATTTTACGCATGTATCGCCCTGAAAAACACCATATATTGTCTGTTAGTATGCATAATCGTACGCTTTATGATTTTACGGAGGCCAAGTGTCCGGAGAAGAAAACGTGTCTACATTTCACCGGGGATCTGCAAGTGCCCTTTTCAAAAAAATTATACTCCCATCAATAAAAATGACCGTGCTATGTCACTGTACTTTCAGGATCACATACTAATACTACTTCTACTTCATACTAAACATTACTACTTCGGAAATAACAAGGAGTACTATAGTCAACCTCTATTGCTGATATTGAAACACGGGTAGATGGAGCTCGTTAGCCTAGGTCGGCAGTCCATCTAGGAGAAGGAAAACTCTGATTCCAAACCCGGGCATATGGAGCCCGGTAACGTTAAATCGCATCCACATTTCCAGCTATGGGTTAAACAGTGAAGCCACGGCAGCAGGGGGTGGATTCTCCTCTCTGGCGTCTTTGACATTTCGGAGTAGCGACAGGAGGACTTCAGCCAGGTGTCTTTATCGTTTGAAGTAGCAACTGGGCGAGATGATCAGCATCATGAGTCTGATACTGCGGGGCAGTCATGTCGCTGGCCAAGTCGTCTGGTTCTTTTTCCTGTCACTTGATTCCCCAGCCACATGACCCAGAGGGTGGGAGAGTACCTGCACAATGCTCTCCTTACCTAATCCTTGTGCAGGCCACTTCGGCAACCTTGACTCAAAGTCGCAAAGCGACAAGGTCTCTTGTGGTACAGGCAGGCTTGAGAAGCTGGAAGCCGTTAGCAAGAACTTGCATTTGCGCGGCCCAGGAGTGATGGTCGCACAGCTTCTGATGGGTGACAGTGCTGTGAGGTCCTTCCTGGGTGACCAGGCGGCCTTTTTAGGGATGCCCCGCCTGCCTCAATACGAGGACGCCTCTAGAAAATGTGAGGTAAAAAAGGCTCACCCTCAACTAACCTGGCTGGCTGCCCACGGTCAGCGGGTTCTCCACTTCAGTGGGTGCAACCATAAATCAAAGCTACAGATCGCATGTTGGAATTTACGAACTCTCCTTGACAACAATCCCAACCTTCCCAAGAGAAGAACTGCTTTGCTTGCCAAAGAACTCGACGCCTTCAGCGTGGACATTGCTGCTCTCTCAGAGATGAGACTCCTGGACACGGGGGAAAGGACAGAAAAGACCCACACGTTCTTCTGGTCTGGTAACCCTAAGGGATCAAACCTACAGGGTACATCCGGCACTGGTTTCGCCATTGCCAACCGGCTACTGAGCCAACTGACCGAGATGCCTCGACCAGTGTCTGACCGATTGATGACCCTTCGCCTCGCTATCTCCACCTCCACGCACATGACTTTGATCAGTGTGTACGCTCCGACAATGACTCATGACCCTGTCAACCTAGCTGCTTTTTACTCTCAGCTTAAAGAGGTGCTGCAAAACATCCCCAGCACAGACACAGTTGTGGTGCTTGGCGACTTCAACGCCAGAGTCGGATGCAATCAAGATGCATGGCCAGGAGTCCTTGGCAGATTTGGACGGGGATCTTACAACAGCAATGGAGAGCTCTTATTGCAATTGTGCACCGAGTTCTCACTCACAGTGACCAACACCCTTTTTAATGTGCCTGCTCATCATTACTACTCATGGAGACATCCAAGGTCTGGACACGCTCATCTTCTGGACTATGTTCTGATTAGTCAGAACAAGATCCGTGACGTGTGCATCACTAGAGCCATGAAAGGCCCAGAATGTAGCACTGACCACTACATGATAAGATGTAGACTCAAGGTCTCTATCCATCAGCCTAGACGGAGAACAGCCCCTCGCCCAAGCAAGAAGCTTAATGTCAGTCGACTCAGGGAGGCCAGTGCTAGGGAAGACCTCTCAACTATCTTCAGTCAGCGCTTCTCCCGAGCTAGCAGTTCCACTGCTGCTGAGAAGTGGCAGAACTTCAGCTCATGCCTTTAAAAAGCTGCTAAAGAAGTATTAGGGCACCCAAAGTGCAGAAATCAGGACTGGTTCAATGATTCGGACTCCCGCATTTCAGAGCTCCTCAAAGCTAAGCGTAAAGCCCACCAGGCCTGTCTTGCCAAGCCCAGATGCCAGAGAACCAAATCTGAGTTCGCCAGAGTGAAGGCAGAACTGCAACGCAAGCTCAGAGACATGGAAGACAAGTGGCGGGATCAGAAAGCTGAAGAAATTCAGTGAATGGCAGACATGGGGGACACCAGACGCTATTACCAAGCACTGAAGACTGCCTTTGATCATGGAGGAACACAGTCCAGCCCTCTCCTTGCACCTGATGGCAATACCCTCTTGACTGAACAGGGTGAAATTCTTGAACGATGGCGGATACATTTCGATCAGCTCTTGAATCGAAGATCAAATGCTGACATCTCGATTCTTGAGAGAATCCCTCAGCGTCCAGTGCTTCTCAGTGCTGATGACCCTCTGCTCATAAATGAAGTGTGGCAGGCTGTAAGAAGCCTTGCCTCCAACAAATCCTCCGGAATGGATGGTATCCAGGCTGAGATCTACCAAAATGGAGAACAGAGTACCAGTAATCTATATGATGTGCTCTCAGCCATTTGGAATGAGAAGTTTGTACCACAGGAGTTCAAGGATGCCGTCATCATTCCCATCTTCAAAAAGAAAGGCAACAAGCAAGACTGTGTCAACTATAGAGGCATCTCACTCCTGTCAGTCGCTGGCAAAGTGCTTGGCAAAGTAATTCTGGAGCGCCTCAAACCCATCCTCGATGCAGTCCTCCCCGAGTCGCAGTGTGGCTTTCGTAGCTCCAGATCGACCATCGATATGATCTTCACACTGCGCCAGGTGCAGGAGAAAGCTCTGGAGCAGAACATGCCCCTGTACATCGTGTTCATTGACTTTACCAAAGTGTTTGACACAGTGAACAGGGAGTTTCTCTGGTCTCTCCTGCGTCGATATGGCTGTCCTGAAGGCATTGTCAGCCTCACCTCTCAGCTCCACATTGAGATGATGGCTCAAGTCTCTCTCAACGGCACACTCTCAGACCAGTTCACTGTGATTCAAGGTGTCAAACAAGGCTGTGTGCTGGCTCCCTCCCTGTTCTCCATCTACCTCAGTGCTGTCTTAGAACTGTGTCCAAAGCACGGTGGTGTTTATCTCAGAACACGTTCAGACGGGAAGTTGTTCAGCGCCAGCCGTCTCAAGGCCAAGACCCTGACCAGAATTGTTTGTGTTCTCGAACTGCTTTATGCAGATGACTCTGCCATGGTGTCACACTCTGCGGCGGAACTCCAGGCCATGCTTGATGCCTTCCACTCAGTCGCCTAAAGCCTCGGTCTTACCATCAAAATCAGAAAGACCGAGGTCATGCTCCAGCCTCCTAAACTCACTGCCTACGTTGACCCAGAGCTGTCCCTTGGTGGGAATCCACTTCAAGCTGTGCACAGCTTCACTTACCTCGGCAGCACAGTTTCCAATGATAACAGCCTGGACAAAGAAGTGGAAAGGCGCATTAGTGCGGCCGCTGCAGCCCATGGGAAGCTCCAGTCAAAGGTTTGGAAGAGACATGGCATCCGGCTAACAACCAAGTGCAAGGTGTACCGTGCAGTAGTCCTCACCTGCTTGCTTTACTCCTCTGAAACCTACACTCTGTATCGTCGCCACATCAAGAGACTCCAGCGCGTGCAGATGTACCAGCTGAGACATCTCCTCAAGATCTCCTGGCGAAACAGGATTAGTAATGTGGAAGTAAGAAGACGAGCAGGCATCCCCAGTGTTGAGGCACTACTCACTCAGAGCCAACTGCGATGGAGCGGCCATGTAGCCCGCATGGACGGTCTGCGGCTTCCTAAGGCTGTCTTATACGGCGAACTTATCAGAGGCGCAAGAAATAGAGGCAGACCCAAGCTGAGATTCAAAGACTGTCTCAAGAGACACCTGAAGGCCTGTGCCATCGACGTCGACTCCTGGGAGGTCACAGCAAGCGACCGATTACGGTGGAGATCTGCTGTCAGAGGTTCTGTTACCCTCATTGATGACCGCCTGGCTGAAGAGACAGCAGAGCGCAGTCGCAAGCGTGCTGCCAGGGCTGCATTAGTGGCCAACCTTCATGCTCACATCTCTCGCTTTTGCTGCCGCCACTGCGGCAGACAGTGTTCTCACCAAATTGGAGTCTATGCCCACGAACGATATTGCCGAAGTCGTCATACTCCTCAGGAGTGACAGCCAGAGAGAGTGAAATAGGGAAACTTTACGTATAGTACCATACTATGGTATATAGGACATAGTAGTAATGCCGTGGTAGTTTACTATGGGTACCAGACCACGACAATACCCTGGTACTGACTCATGGTATGGGATCGAATCAAATTAATTTTTATTTCAAGATTGTGGATATCCACTTGATCCTTCATTGTTCAAAGCGTTTAATTAAGTTCGGATGTGAATACGCGAAACATTCGAATGAATAAGTTAATGAAGGCCTACATCATAAAGGTAGTGCTCAAAAAGCCGTTGCATGCATGCTTACTGTCATCAGTAGTAGACTGTGATGTTGTGAAGTCTGTAGAGAACATGGTGGATGTTTCCTCTGAGGTGGACAGTGAACCTAACGAAAGGAGTAACAAAAGGTTTGTAATTGCTTAAATGCATAGAGCATCATTTGCATTTATTCCAAGTTACTTGGGTTAAAAATGGTACTGGTACGAAAAACCAGGTGAAATTATTTCGCTTGTATGTTTTTAAGAAGATTTTTTTTGAAGGCCGGTGATTTAATACTATCAGTCAAGACCGACTGACTTTAAAAATAAAGAGTTTTATCGACAATATCGTGTTTTGTTATCAAAAGGTTGTACATGGTTTTTCACTGTTTTCTCGAAAAGTGTAATATCCTCTTAGGTCAAAATTGGACAGATTAGGTTTTGAACATTCATCTTTAGATTTTGAGAGGTTTAAATACTGGGAACAAAAAACATGCATAAAAAAAAATCGAATTATTGGTTCATACGATGCTAAGGCCCTATAGACGAATTTCAAATTCGAGTTAAAACCGAGGCTCTCAGTGCCAAGCCATTGTATGCCAATGATGACCTTTTCTTTTTTTAATCTTCTCAACAAAAGACAACACTGAGGGATTCGTTGTCAGTGCCAAGTTGAAATTCATTAATACAAAATGACAATTTATATAAAACTAGTCACATCATCACGATTGGCTGGTACTAGAACATTCCTATACAATGTACGTTTATATTGACTTCTTATTATCAAAGTACAAGTTCAGGTCTTCAGTATAAGTCCACTTTCGTATTACATGTATTGTTTTTGTGTTTATTGGGAAGGGGCCTCATCAATTAATCAAAGGCAGTGACAACTCAGTACCTGAGTTGTGAGTTCGCAAAGCTGGTCATGGTAATGCAGATAAACACATACTTTAGTTTGAACGTACCTGTAGTTGTCGCGCCATTATCACAAGTAACTCCTGCCTCCCCTCCCAGCTCACAAATTGTCCAGCCCGGAACGAGTTGGCATTCAGCTAAGCTAACTTCATCGCCTTGGCAGTCAACACTGTCAAAAATGATCGGACTTGATCCTATGCCGAAGTGAGTATAGCGCCAAGCATTGGATGCCGAAGTGTAACCAAGCATGCGACAGACGACATCAGCATCATTAAGGTCCCATGTATTATCACAGACTGAACCCCACTCGCCTTGGTAGAAAACCTCAACTCGGCCCTCGTACGAGGAGTTTGCACCAACTAGACGAACTGAAACTGGAGCAAAAACAGAACATAAAAAGGTAAATGGCCTAGATATAACAAAATCACCACAGCTTTGGAATACATGTAACACGGACTGCGATATTCAACCTCTATAACAATTAAAACAGGTAGATCAAGTTGTGTGTTGTTATTTTCAGATCATCTAGCGCACTCTGGACAATGCGAATATTTTATCAAGATGTACAATGTGAGTTCAATGAAATGACAATGATTTAAACTTATTTCGGAGTTACATTCAAACAACCAGGAGTTATTTTCATCACCTTTTATTAATATCACGATCAATCAAGTTTATCACTAGGAAGATAAATATTACTTTTGGTATTCTGATACCATGGGAATGTATACGGGCCAAGTGAACTAGCTTGCATCGAACCATTTCAGTGCTGGTAATATTTGACATGGTACAAGGACATCATGCCAGGTCATTGTGTCGTACCATGGTATAGAACCATGTGATACCGTACGTATAAGTACTACACTTCGGTATAGGACGTTTACTAATGCCGCGGTACTTGTACCAGACCATGACAATACCCTGGTACTGCTTTGTATGGGATCGAATCAAATTAATTTCTATTTCTAGATTTTGGATGTCCACTTGATTCTTCATTATTCAAAGCGTTATTTAAGTTCAGATAAAGGCATAAAACATGATGTCAATGCTCAAAAGATGTTGCCTGCATGCTTACTCGCATAAGCAGTAGACTGTGATGGCGTGAAGTCCGCAGACAACGAGGTGGATGTTTCATCTGTGGTTGAAGTTGAACCTAGCAAAAGAAGTAACAGAAGGTACGTGCGTAATTGCTTAAAGGCAAGTAGAATCATTTGCATTTATGCCAGAAAGTCACTTACCGAAGTATAATCAAAAGCTTACCCGGATTAGAAAATCGTACTGGTACGAAACACCATGTAAAATTATTCCGTCTGAGGAATCAGAAAAGGCAGGTGATTTGTAACTATCAATCACGTGACTGACTTTTGGAAATAAAGAGTTGCTTGCACAAAGTCGTGTTTCATGATCAAAAGGGTAGGCATGGTTTGTCACTGTTTTTGAATTTTCGTAAAGCGTAACGTCCTCCGAGGTGAAAATTCAACACTTTAGGTCTTAAACATTTATATTCGGATTTTGAGAGGTGCTATTACTGGGCACAAAAACCTGCATTAATTAAAAGCAAATGAACTTATATGGTTTTTTTTATGGACAATGTGTAGAAATGAATTACAGGTACTGAATTTCAGCATTTGGCAACGTTGGAAAACTATGCGCATATCATGCACTGGTCCAGAACACTTTCAAATGTCCCGGGTCAGAATTTCCAAGGAATCCGTGTTCTATTTAGTCTGATACTTTTCCGGGATCCAAATGACAAGGGTAAACATATAAGGCTACCCACCTCTGGCGGTAGACTGACAATTGTTAACGTTTAGTCTACCTACCTCTGGCGGTAGACCGGCAAGGGTAAACGTTAAGGCTACCTACCTCTGGCGCCAGGTATACTGCGTTTTAACTACCTATACCTCTGACGGTATACTTACAGGGGTAAACCTTTAAGGCTACCTGCCTCTGGCCGTAGACTGACAAGAGTAAACGTTTAGGCTACCTACCTCTGGTGGTAGACTCTGTTGGTGGTTGAGTTGATTCTGGCAAAGTCCTTTCAGTAGAAAAATAATCGTCCCAATAAGACCAATCTAAGAAAAAAAATCATCATGGAAAATCGATTACAGATGAGATTAGCAGGCCTATAAAAGCAGGTATATAAAAAAAAAAATACTTATAACATCATCATATGAGAAAAGACCAATCAGATTGGTAGCCTATACTAAATTAACTTCAGATAGGCCTTATTGGCCTAATTGATATAAACTTTAATTTTCGGGATTTGTTGTTTAAATGAATATCTTAACTTTTTTTCTCCCACAATGCTGAGTTTTTCTGAAAAGTATAAGCAGTGAACATTTTTATAAGGCCATTCTACTGACTGTTGTTGTTTTTTTCCTTCTAAATTGCTAACCTACGACAGACGATGGATCTTCTGTCGATTCTGGAGGGATGGTATCTGGAGGCCTAAATGAAGATGTGACTCCTGTCGTCGCGGTGGTTTCTGAATGACAGGGAAATAAAAAGAACGTAAAGGCTGCAGTCGTGTAAATATGTGCCTATAAGGTTCGATGGGGTTAGTGCGAAAAAAACTCCCCTAGACTCCGTAAACTCCGTAAACTACAAGACTCAACAACACTTACCACACCCATCTGTAACAAATCGATCGGCCAGGGTGCCTTTGGTTCTTCTGGAACAAGCTCACTCAAGAAATCCGCCAGTCTGACTCAGTGACAACATTTCGAAAACGTTTGAAGACAGAACTATTCAGAGCTCATTAATTCATTATTTTTTTGTACTGTTTTTTTTTTTTTGGTCAAGCGCCTTGATCTATCTTTTAGTTGTTTAGGATATTTGCGTTTTATAAGAACCTGCTATTAATAGTATTATTATTATTAGACATTGCAACTTTAACACAGTGTGGGATTGGGCTAGGCCCCAATTGAACGAAGTACTTTGTTGTCAGTAGGTTGCACTGAAGCAAGTGATGCGCTGTAGACCAAATCGTGTTTTATGACCAAAATTTTGTTTATATTTACATTTACATTACTGAATGTCTGTATGCTAATTTCCTAATCTACGAACACATGGAATTCGTGTTCTAATACCTCTGGTGGTAGACTAACAAGGGTAAACGTTTAGGTTACCTAACTCTGGCGGTAGACCGACAATGGTTAACATTCAGGCTACCTACCTCTGGCGGAAGACTGACAAGGGTTAACGTTTAGTCTACATACCTCTGGCGGTAGAGTAACAATGGTAAACGTTTAGGTTACCTAACTCTGGCGGTAAGCCGACAAGGGTAAACGTTTAGGCTACCTACCTCCGGCAATAGACCGGCAACGGTAAACGTTTAGGCTACCGAACTCTGGCGGTAGACCGACGAGGCTAAACGTTTAGGCTACCTACATCTGGCAGTAGACTGACAATGGAAAACGTGAAGGCTACCCTGTACCTCTAGCGGCAGGTAGACTGCGTTTAGGCAACGTACATCTTTAAGGCTACCTGCCTCTGGCGGTAGACTGACAAGAGTAAACGTTAAGGATACGTACCTCTGGTGGTAGACTCTGTTGGTGAATCAGTCGATTCTGGCGCAATTGTCCTTTCAGTAGAATAATCGTCCCAATAAGACCAATCTGAGAAAAGACCAATCATCATTGGAAATCGATTACAGATGAGACCGCAGGCCTATAATAGCAGGCATATAATAATTTGAGTAAAAGGATTAATCTGAGAAAAGACCAATCAGATTGGTTGGCCTATACTGAATTAACTTCAGACAGGCCTTATAGGCCTAATTGATATAAACTTTAATTTTCGGGATTTGTTGTTTAAATAAATATCTTAAACTTTTTTCTCCCACAATGCTGAGTTTTTCTGAAAAGTATAAGCAGTGAACATTTTTATAAGGCCGTTCTACTGACTGTTGTTTTTTTTTCTTCTAAATTGCTAACCTACGAATGACGATGGATCTTCTGTCGATTCTGGAGGGATGGTATCTGTAGGCCTAGATGAAGATGGGACTCCTGTCGTCGCGGTGGTTTCTGAATGACAGGAAACAAAAATAAAAAGAACGTTAAGGCCGCAGTCGTGTAAATATGTGCCTATAAGGTTCGATGGGGTTAGTGCGAAAAACACTCCCCTAGACTCCGTAAACTGCATAAACTCCGCAAACTCCGTAAACTACAAGACTCAACAACACTTACCGCACCCATCTGTAACAAATCGATCGGCCAGGGTGCCTTTGGTTATCTGGAACAAGCTCACTCAAGAAATCTGCCAGTCTGACTCAGTGACAACATTTCGAAAACGTTTGAAGACAGAACTATTCAGAGCTCATTAATTCATTTTTTTGTTGTACTGTTTTTTTTGGGTCAAGCACCTTGATCTAGCTTTTAGTTGTTTAGGATATGTGCGTTTTATAAGAACCCGCTATTAATAATATTATTATTATTAGACATTGTTACTTTAACACAATGTGGGATTGGGCTAGGCCCCAATTGAACGAAGTAGTTTGTTGTCAGTAGGTTGCACTGAAGCAAGTGATGCGCTGTAGACCAAATCGTGTTTTATGACCAAAATTTTGTTTATATTTACATTTACATTACTGAATGTCTGTATGCTAATTTCCTAACCTACGAATACAGGCGCTGTTGTTGCCTCTTCTGTCGGTTCTGGAGAAATGGTTTCTATAGATGAAAACGGGACTTCTGTCGTCGGTGCTAATTCTGAATGACCAAAAATAAAAAGATTGTAAAGGCTGCAGTAGTGTAAATGTGTGTCCATAAGTTGGGGGTGGGGTTAGAACGAACAAATTGAAACTCCCTAGACTGCAAATAAAAAAGTTGGGTTGGGCTAGCGCTAGGCACCCATTATTGAAATAAACTAGTTTATTATACAGTGGGCCAAACTAAGTATATGTATACTTTATCTTCAAGCAAACTTGAATTCTTGATGCTGATTAGTCGATCCATGACCACAAACTGTGCTACATTACTAAGCGAAGCTCTATTATAAAATAGCATCCACATTTACCAATCAACAGCTTAGGCCACATTTCTGATCGAAATGACGTCACAGTTTCTAAAATCGACTTCGATTTGCCGGCTCGCATAACATTTACATGTCAGGATATATCAGGCGTTCGACCGTGGCTCTGCACACGTGATGTTTGATCTCCAGACAACATTTTTTGTAATGCTAAAAACTGAGCAGTTGAACACTTATACCATCTATTAGTTTATTCCGAAGTTTCAGCTTAATTTTACTGTTGCAAACGCTAGTGTTACACCTTGAACTAAGGCAACTCCAAGGCGAATTTCGCTGGACCGGGTTTTTTTGCCGACCAAAAACAACACGTGGCTTTCAGGTTGGCCGATTTTGCCGCAACAATGACGAGGCGCATTATTAGCATATCCATTAGCGTGATTCTGCGTAACTTCGCGTGGGGCTCGGTATCGACCGATGGAAGCTGAGGAAAAGGCTGATATTTATCAATTAATATGTTGTGAAAGATGCAAAAGTGCGACATTTTACTACACACCATTATGGATAGGAACCTTATAAATATTCGTGAGGCTTGAACAGATTGACACATATTGCAAAACACTATTTGTTACAGCTTTGAAAAATGGATGTACCGACGCCTTTTTTTCCAATTTCAACAAAAAATACTGAACATATCAAAATGATTTTTATCACATAGTTGCATCCTTTTAAGACAAACAAACCCTGAAAGTTGCATGAAGATACGGTCTTTCAAACGGGAGAAATTTGTTTCCAACAGGTCTGTGTGCAGCTTGATTCATTTAAAATAAAGTTTTACATAACCTTTACAAATCCGCCTTCGTTATGATGTATTAGTGGTTCACAGATAGAATTATGTAGCAGGCGTATTATCCCTAAAGAAGCACTATAGAATCGACAGTATAGCTTCAAAATCAAGGCAGGTGAAAACCCATCACATGATAAAAGAAAAAAATAGACCTAAGACATATACATCACGCTTTGTCTACATGTTCGCCTTCTGATCATATAGAAAGCGCACATTCACACAGGTGCTATAATGTAAAAGATATGTTATGTCGAAATACCATGTCTCATACAGCAGGCAGTCAGGTGTAAAATCAAATACCAACCTGGTGGTGAACCGGTGTACAGTGTGACAGCAATCCATCCAGAAGAAACATTACATGGGGCAAGACCAGTCACTAGATCCTCACCCATTATAATGGTAAACACTCCAGATGATTCTAAACGCACGCGACAAGTTTCTATTGTGTCTTCAGCCGTCTGGACAATATCACAAGACCGAGCAGACTGCCAGGCATTTCTTTTGTAAACGTAGAGTCCTGTTCGACTCTGAGTCAACATGACCTTCATGAATAGTTGGAAACAAAAACAACTAAACAATACCGGAAAATACACTATTCTAATTTCTAAACGTGACAGTATATTATTATACACAAACCCATTTGTATTGATTGATTGGTAATTCAGTACATCACTTTGACTTTTCAGTTCATAAATGGTATATTTTTCCAACATTAAGATTATAAGATACAGCGAAAGTTGGAGCATGTTAATCGTTGAAAATGTATTTAAAAAGTGACCTTCAAAATTATCATAAAATAGTATACAAGTTGTAATTTTATAAGGACAAATTGGTTGGGAGGATTGTTTGAAAGAAAATAGGATATCAAAGAAAATAAATATAAAAATCACGTTTTCTGATGTAAAACTATATTTGTTCTGATATGGTATGGCTTCGGAAAATAAGAATTAATCCTTTTCATCGGTTCTTTTAATTTGAACCAAAAACGTTATGGAAATTCCATCAACAGCCACAATTGCAGTATCCACTTCTATTTTACACAACATTTGCACTGGTAAGCTAGTTTCACACGGGCGAGCATGTAGTTCTTTCTCACCAACTCTGTACATGTATAATATTCTTCTAAAATTGCGAAGGGTGACACCAATTTCTTTTAATTTTACATCCCCAAATTATTGCAAACAAAAGTGAAATGGTACATGCAATCTCTATTTATACTAACCTCCTGATCATATTTGAGGATCAGTTTATCCAAACTGTCTGAAGAATAAAATCCTTCAGCTGGCCAAGACTGAATGATAGTGGGACGTTCTGCCAAAAAAAAAAAGTTTGACCACAGATAATATGTATGTTCAATTCACACGCAACCAGTTTCCCTTAACACCTTATGTTTGCACGGGCCTCGTGTGTGTGTGGAATGGACTTGATCAGTCTATAAAATCACAGTCCTCTGTGGGCCGATTCAAAATCAGTTGCAAGAACCATCCCAATATTTAGCATAGTATCTTTCTCTTTCTGCATTATGACCAGCCGTTATACCCCGATTAAATGCCCCCATAGGTTTCGGATTTATATATCATGTAGTCGTTGTATTTCTTATTGGACTAAAAACAACTACATATGTAATCCCTCTGAGAAATTCTTGCCACCATTTACTTTTGCCATGATTACATCACTTCTAATTCAAGTTTTTAGCACTATATTAGGCACAGTAATCCAGATAGCTTCAAGACATTTTATCTTTTTTTTTCAATTTCCCTTTCTATTAAGCTTCCGGGATGTGCTGTTTTAGCCTTTTGGTCCAAAATGCTTTTCCGAGAAAACGAATAATATGTACCAAGGATAAAACGTAACGCACACACCTGTAACTAGCAATTTTGTTCCCCTGTGATACGCATGAGTAGTCTTCATATCGTACCTTCCTTGTGTCTGATGAATTGAAATAGACCTTTATCATGCTGCCACCATTTCAGTCATATTCTCTGTATCCAATAACAGTACTGAATGATATTTTTTTTTGTGCAAACTATTTTTCCTTCCAGCCTCGCTTTGGCTACGTTGATTTGAATGGGGAAAAATCAAGACGGCCGCAACATGATAATGGTCTATAACAAAAGCTGTCCACTGTGAGCGCGCTCTATGCCAGCTTTATATTCCTACAAGCAGCCGTATCTCACCTGTGTCAGAGCAACTTGATGGAGGCGCTGGGGTCGTGTAGTACGGAGTCTCACTAGATTCTATACAAATAAAAGTATTTTTAGCAAAAGCACTACCTAAATTGTGTGACATGATAATTATAAAAATGGATACAATCAATTGTTAGGAAGTGGATTTTGAAAACCAGAAATCGTTAACAAATCAGATCAAACCCAAAACTGCAGGAGCTGATGTTGGGTAACATGAATGGGGAACACATAGAAACCATCTTCTGGGATGAAAGTGAGTCAATTATTGAACCTCGGATAATTTACATGGATCTGGAAACTTATTCCATAACTATATCATGAATATATATAATACATTCTTCGTCAATTCATTCTTGTGAATAAACCGCGGTTAGCCTATACTTCTTTAAATGGTGTTCTTACCATACACCAAGCCACTGTACAATACTTTGTAGAAATCGGGATCTGTAACAGCAGCTGACGGAGCATAACGTGGCCCAGGACCAGTTACCACACCCTCATCCAACAACACATGAAACACTTGCCCTCGAGCTAGCAGTGCTTTCAATGTCGCAGGGACAACAACTTGCATTGTGTCTGGGGCAGGAAAGTGAACGTTGTCATCAGCGGAGGCATCAATTGAAAATACCCGAAAACCGATGCAGTAGTAAACCTTGACAAAAGCAGGTCTACTCGGCCTATTCACCTGTGTGCGATATTTTATAATATGAATAAGAACAAAAGTCACATTATTCATCTCCCTTACACTTATTCGGCGTACATCCGTTGGCAAGTCATCACTGTTCAATGATAAGTAACTTTGTTATATCGTGTGCTTGGATACTGTTTTCATTGGTCTAGGACCGCCACGTGTCTCGACAATAAAACTGCATGTCACACACTAATAAGGGTGATTTCTCACTGTGCTCATTGCGCGTTGCGCGCGCGCGTGGAACCTGCCGGCGCACCAGCTTTGCGCAATGAGAACTGAGACTCCGGCAGGACACCAAAGCCTTCAGTTATCAAAGGTTACATCGTCATGATTCTATTTATTTCTCACACAGTTGTTATAATTATATAACTGACACACAGATCCTAGTCATTTGATTGGTGGAACTCACATCACATGGCATTTGTTATTGCTCCCATTCACGCCGCGGCTCAAAAAGTACTATCCGCCCATGGGGAATGGGAAATACTATTCAACAGTTAGGATCATGACGCGGTATTTGTGTGCAAATGCATGCTGGTGTGCGCGTTCAGCGTTGCGCGTAGCGCGTATTGTTCCAAAGAGCCAGCGCTACAGCGTTAGGTTCAAACATTTTCGTGATGGGGTAGTTTGGAAGAGAGAGATAGATTTTCCTTCAGTTTGTATTGAAAAAAAAAGGTTCAAATATATCAAATGACAAGGATCTATATGTCAGTTATATAAAACAAATATTGAGTGGCTTTAAATTGTGAAATTCGCCTCGTGAAATGGAAAAGTCCAGATTTTACCTCGCGATAATATTCCTCCCATTCCACGCTGAGCCACTCAATATTTGTATACCATTTATCTTTTTGAGTTATTGGCACTATATAACAAAACAATTGTTGACTGCTGTGATGTGTGATATGCCGTTTTTAACCCCCTCGGGGCGCATAGCACCCTCGGCTTATGCGCCCCTCGGGTGTTAAAAACGTCATGTCCCAAATCACACCAGTCAACAATTGTTTAATGAACATATGTAAGGTGTGCACAATCGCATGTAGATCTGGCATTTCAATGAAAGTATGTCCCATCATGCCACTGCATCCTTAGCATGATGCCCAGAAACACAAACACGTGATTACAAAGACTGTGTTACTAACAATTCGAAGGTAAAAAAAATCAATTTGAATAACAGCTTGCTGACGCATAGTGTACACGTTGCTATATCAACAGTACTCTTTCTATTATTCTTTTAATTTTATACAATAAAAGGTTGGTGAAATGTTTGAATAAGGGTGATATTTCTATTGCTTCTATTAAGAATTTGCTGTCATGCTGCAGCGCCCTTTCCGCTCGAACATGTGGCCTATTAGAGGGACCAGTGTTCATACTCACGTTTTGGTTGAATTTGAAATGGAAGATCCATGTAGAAAAGTCGGGAATTCTGGTGACTGCTGGATCGGGCCAGGTCTCAATTATAACAGGAGGGGATGCTGTACCGATATCAACAAAAAAAATCAACATATAGAGAAAGGAATTGGTTGGCATGTCAAATAGTGCAGTGGTTGTGGAAGGCTGAGGGAAAGTATGGGTTTCAAAAAAAAAATATCTGGTCTGTTTGACTGATCTGACATTGGAAAACAGATTTTTTTCTTTCTTTTTGTGGAATATGCCAAAATAAACAAGAACAGGTTATGTAATAGAAATAGGTACATACTGTAACATTTTTCTTTTGCCCGAATAGAACTGTGAAATAAAAAACATGCAATGCCACTGGGTACTCACCACGCCTTGATCGGTTGTTTTGCTTGAAAAAAAAAACTCAAAAAAGGAATAATCTATAAATGTGTTGTCATGTGGACAAATGCAGCTGCTTTGGCTGTTTAAAATTATCTGTGGCATGTGATGATGTCCTCGTGGCGTCAATTATAAGTTCATATGAGTCATCCCGTTCAATACGTAACTATCAAGTTACAATCAAACTGGACATAGAGTTTTGTTGATATAGATATTTAAAAAAAACACCTCTAATGTGACGTCACATGAAATAGGATGACGTCATAATTGACATTACTTCTCGATACAGACCTTTTCAAGGTGGTCTTTGTTTGTGCCAAGTTTTAGGGTTTCTGAATGCAGAAAATGTAGAATTTTGTACATAGAACATATAACAATAACATATGAAATGATGACATCATTGTATAGCATCGCTTCATAATTTGTGTACTAGTATATTTACCTAACTTCTCACCAACGTTTGATGAATTTTCCCATACATCTATTTTTTAAATCGATTTTTTTTGTGACGTCGTGATGACGTCAAACATTTTATTTGCCAAATTGTGTGGTATTTTCTATAACCTATGAAACCTTTAGCATTTTTGTTAGCAAGATATTAGTTCGGCAGCAACTTTACAATTCATATAAAACCACACGATGAGGACATCGTGACGTCACGTCAGTTTTCACCTACAGCACATCGCTGTCTATGTACACAACAACGTCCTTGTAAAAAAGCCTTATTTGTTCTTCTTATTGTTTCTTCTTTCTTGTTGTTCTATCCCAAATGCCTTAGAGTTTCAAGGTGGCACTTTAGACATTTTACATGTTGAGATCTCGATCAAACTTAACACAATCAAAGACCATACAGCAAAGATTGGTCGCGTAGATGGACGTCATGATGACGTCATCAAGTTGTTTTCATGATTTATCTTTTTTTAAAATATTATCCGCATATCTAACAAACAAAACTGCATAAACTCCGTAAATCCGCCAGTCTGACTCAGTGACAACATTTCGAAAACGTTTGAAGACAGAACTATTCAGAGCTCATTAATTCATTATTCTTTTGTACTGTTTCTTTTTTTGGTCAAGCGCCTTGATCTAGCTTTTAGTTGTTTAGGATATGTGCGCTTTATAAGAACCTGCTATTAATGTTATTATTATTAGACATTGCAACTTTAACACAGCGTTGGATTGGGCTATGCCCCAATTGAACGAAGTAGTTTGTTGTCAGTAGGTTGCACTCAAGCAAGTGATGCGCTGTAGACCAAATCGTGTTTTATGACCAAAATTTTGTTTATATTTACATTTACATTACTGAATGTCTGTATGCTAATTTCCTAACCTATGAATACAGGCGCTGTTGTTGCCTCTTCTGTCGGTTCTGGAGAAATGGTTTCTATAGATGAAGACGGGACTTCTGTCGTCGGTGCTAATTCTGAATGACCAAAAAAAAAAAGATTGTAAAGGCTGCAGTAGTGTAAATGTGTGTCCATAAGTTGGGGGTGGGGTAAGAACGAACAAATTGAAACTCCCTACACTGCAATTAAAAAAGTGGGGTTGGGCTAGGGCTAGGCACCCATTATTGAAATAAACTAGTTTATTATACAGTGGGCCAAACTAGCAAACTTGAATTCTTGATGCTGATTAGTCAATCCATGACAACAAACTGTGCTACATTACTAAGCGTATCGCTCTATTTTAAAATAGCATCCACATTTACCAATCAACAGCTTAGGCCACATTTCTGATCAAAATGACGTCACAGTTTCTAAAATCGACTTCGATTTGCCGGCTCGCATAACATTTACATGTCAGGATATATCAGGCGTTTGACCGTGGCTCTGCACACGTGATATTTGATCTCCAGACAACCTTTTTGGTGATGCTAAAAACAGAGCAGTTGAACACTTATACCATCTATTAATTTATTCCTGAATTTCAGCTTAATTTTGGTGTTGCAAACGCTAGTGTTACACCTTGAACTAAGGCAACTCCAAGGCAAATTTCGCTGGACCGGGTGTTTTTGCCGATAAAACAGCACGTGGTTTTCAGGTTGGCCGATTTTGCCGCAACAATGACGAGGCGCATTATTAGCATATCCATTAGCGTGATTCTGCGTAACTTCGCGTGGGGCTCAGTATCGACCGATGGAAGCTGAGGAAAAGGCTGATATTTATCAATTAATATGTTGTGAAAGAGGCAATAGTGCGAAATTTTACTACACACCATTATGGATAGGAACCTTATAAATATTCGTGAGGCTTGAACAGATTGACAGATACTGCAAAACACTATTTGTTACAGCTTTGAAAAATGGATGTACCGACGCCTTTTTTTTCCAATTTCAACAAAAAATACTGAACATATCAAAATGATTTTTATCACATAAATGCATCATTTTAAGACAAACAAACCCTGAAAGTTGCATGAAGATATAGTCTTTCAAACGGGAGAAATTTGTTTCCAACAGGTCTGTGTGCAGCTTGATTCATTTGAAATAAAGTTTTACATAACCTTTACAAATCCACCTTCGTTATAATGTATTAGTGGTTGAATTATTTAGCAGGCGTATTATCCCTAAAGAAGCACTATAGAATCGACAGTATAGTTTCAAAATCAAGGCAGGTGTAATCCCATCACATGATAAAAGAAAAAAAAATAGACCTGAGACATATACATCACGCTTTGTCTACATGTGCGCCTTCCGATCATATAGAAAGCGCACATTTACACATGTGCTATAATGTAAAACACATGTAATGTCGAAATACCATGTCTCATAAAGCAGGCAGTCGGGTGTAAAAACAAAAACCAACCTGGTGGTGAACCGGTGTACAGTGTGACAGCAATCCATCCAGAAGAAACATTACATGGGGCAAGACCAGTCACTACATCCTCACCCATTATAATGGTAAACACTCCATTACCATCAAGATTAGCTCCATTGTAAAACAAGGGACAGCTAGCTGTTTCTATTGTGTCTTGAGCCGTCTGGACAATATTACAGGTCTGAGCAGACTGCCAGGCACGTCTTCTGTAAATGTAAAGTCCTCTTCGACTCTGAGTCAACGTGACCTTCATGAATAGTTGGAAACAAAAAAAAATCTACTGTACTGGAAAATGCTCGATTCTAGTTATAAAACGTAAAAGTGTTTTGTTTATACACAAACCCATTTATATTGAATGATTGGTAATTCAGCACATCACTTTGACTTTTCAGTTCATAAATTGTATAACTTTCCAACATTAAGATTATAAGATAAAGCGAAAGTTGGAGCATGTTAATCGTTGAAAATGTATTTAAAAGTGACCTTCAAAATTATCATAAAATAGTATACAAGTTGTAATTTTATAAGGACAAATTGGTTGGGAGGATTGTTTGAAAGAAAATGGGATATCAACGAAAATAAAAATAATAATCACGTTTTCTGATGTAAAACTATATATTTTTTCTGATATGGTATGGCTTCGGAAAATAAGAATTAATCCTTGTCATCGGTTCTTTCAATTAAAGCCAAAAACATTATGGAAATTCCATCAACAGCCACAATTGCAGTATCCACTTCTATTTTTACACTGGTAATTAAGCTAGTTTCACACGGGCGAGCATGTAGTTCGTTTCTCACCAACTCTGTACATGTATAATATTCTTCTAAAATTGCGAAGGGTGACACCAATTTCTTTTAATTTTACATCCACAAATTATTGCAAACAAAAGTGAAATGTTACATGCAATCTCATTTTATACTAACCTCCTGATCATATTTGAGGATCAGTTTATCCAAACTGTCTGAAGAATAAAATCCATCAGCTGGCCAAGACTGAATGATAGTGGGACGTTCTGCAAAAAAAAAAATCACGTTTGACCACACACAATTCACACGCAACCACTTTTCCTTAACACCTTATCTTTGCACGGGCCTCGTGTGTATGGAATGGACATGATCAGTTTATAAAATCACAGTCCTCGGTAAGCCGATTCAAAATCAGTTTCAAGAACCATTCCAATATTTAGCATAGTATCTTTCTCTTTCTACATTATGACCAGCGTTTTACCCCTTAAATGCCCCTATAAGTTTCGGATTTTGATATCATGTATCATCGTTGTATAACAATCTATTGTTCTCGTGGTTCTTTAACCTTGGTTTGATGGGAACATTTTTATTGGACTGATTTGATTTAAAAAAACAAGTACATATTTAATTCACTCTGAGAAATTCTTGCCACCATTTACTTTTGCCATGATAACATCACTTCTAATTTCAGTTTTTTAGCACTATATCAGGCACAGTAATCCGGATAGATTGAAGACATTTTATCTTGTTTTCAATATCACTTTTAATTATGCTTCCGGGATGTGCTGTTTAGCCTTTTGGTCCAAAATACTTTTCCGAGAAAACGAATAATATGTACCAAGGATAAAACGTAACGCACACACCTGTAACTAGCAATTTTGTTCCCCTGTGATACGCATGAGTAGTCTTCATATCGTGCTTTCCTTGTGTCTGATGAATTGAAACAGACCTTAATCATGCTGCCACCATTTCAGTCATATTCTCTGTATCTAATAACAGTACTGAATGATAATTTTTTTTGTGTTAACTATTTTTCCTTCCAGCCTCGCTTTGGTTACGTTGATTTGAAGGGGGGAAAATCAAGACGGCCGCAACATGATAATGGTCTATAACAAAAGCTGTCCACTGTGAGCGCGCTCTATGCCAGCTTATATTCCTACAAGCAGCCGTATCTCACCTGTGTCAGAGCAACTTGATGGAGGCGCTGGGGTCGTGTAGTACGGAGTCTCATGATATCCTATACAAATATAAGCATTTTTAGCAAAAGCATTACCTAAATATAAAATTGTATGACATGATAATTATTAAAAAAATATATAAACAATCAAATGTTAGGAACTCGATTTTGAAAACTAGAAATCGTAGACAAAATCAGATCAAACCAAAAATTAGAGGAACTGATTTTGGGTAGCACGAGTGGGGGACACATAGAAACCCTCTTCTCGGAAAAAGTGAGTCAATAATTAAACCTCGTTTAATTTACATGGATCTGGAAAACTTATTCCATAACTATATCATGAATATTAATAATGAATTCTTCGTCAATTCATTCTTGTCATAAATACACCGGTTAGCCTATACGTCTTTAAATGGTATTCTTACGATCTGGCAAGCCACTGTACAATACTTTGTAGAAATCGGGATCTGTAACAGCAGTTGACGGAGCATAACGTGGCCCAGGACCAGTTACCACACCCTCATCCAACAGCACATGATACACTTGCCCTCCAGCTAGCAGTGCTTTCAATGTCGCAGGGACAACAACTTGCATTGTGTCTGGGGCAGGAAAGTGAACGTTGTCATCAGCGGAGGCGTCAATTGAAAATACCCGAGGACCGATGCGGTAGTAAACCTTGACAAAAGCAGGTCTACTCGGCCTATTTACCTGTGTGCGATATTTTATTACGATATGGATAAGAACAAAAGTCACATTATTCATCTCCTTTACACTTATTCGGCGTACATCCGTTGGCAAGTCATCAATGTTCAATGATAAGTAACTTTGTTATAACGTGCGCTTGGATACTGTTTTCATTGGTCTAGGACCGTCACGTGTCTGGACAGTAAAACTGCATGTCACACACTAATAAGGGTAATATCGCACTGTGTTCATTGCGCGCGTGGAACCTGCCGGCGCACCAGCTTTGCGCAACTGCAGTCTCAGTCCGGCAGGACACCAAAGCCTTCAGTTATCAAAGGTTATATCGTCATGATTCTATTTATTTCTCACACAGTAGTTATAACCATTAATCATTTTGAGTTATTGGCACTATATAACAAAACAGTTGTTGACTGCTGTGATGTGTAATATGCCGTTTTTAGCCCCCTCGGGGCGCATAGCACCCTCGGCTTATGCGCCCCTCGGGTGTTAAAAACGTCATGTCCCAAATCACACCAGTCAACAATTGTTCAATGAACATATGCAAGGTGTGCACAATCGCATGTAGATCTGGCATTTCAATGAAAGCATGTCCCATCATGCCACTGCATCCTTTATAGCATGATGCCCAGGAACACAAACACGTGATTACAAAGACTGAGTTACTAACAATTCGAAGGTAAAAAAATCAATTTGAATAACAACTTACTGACGCATAGTGTACACGTTGCTATATCAAAAGTACTCTTTCTATTATTCTTTTAATTTTATACAATAAAAGGTTGGTGAAATGTTTGAATAAGGGTGATATTTCTATTGTTTCTATCAAGAATTTGCTGTCATGCCGCAGCGCCCTTTCCGCTCGAACATGTGGCCTATTAGAGGGACCAGTGTTTATACTCACGTTTTGGTTGAATTTGAAATGGAAGATCCATGTAGAAAAGGTAGGAATTCTGGTGACTGCTGGATCGGGCCAGGTCTCAATTATAACAGGAGGGGATGCTGTACCGATATCAACAGAAAAATCAACATATAGAGAAAGGAATTGATGGGCATGTCAAATAGTGCAATGGTTGTGGAAGGCTGAGGGAAAGCATGGGTTTAAAAAAAAATATGTGGTCTGTTTGACTGATCTGACATTGGAAAACCGATTTTGTTTTTGAGGAATATGCTAAAATAAACAAGAAAAGGTTATGTAATAGAAATAGGTACATACTATAACCTTTTTGCCAGAATAGAACTGTGAAATAAAATTATTGCATTGCCACTGGGCACTCACCACGCATTGTTCGTTTTTTTTTGCTTGAAAAACATAACTTAAAAAAGGAATAAAGCTAGAAATGTGTTTGTCATGTGGACAAAAACAGCTGTTTCGGCTGTTTCAAAGGATCTGTAGCATGTCATGACGTCACATCCCAGTGGTGATGACACAGTGGTGTCACTTAAAAAGTTTATTTATAAGTCATCCTGTTCAATACGTATTTATGAAATTACAATCAAATTGGACGTAGAGTTCTGTATATATAGATATTTCAAAATACACCTCTAATGTGACCTCTCATGAAACAGGATGACGTCATAATTGACATTACTTCTCGATACATTTTTCTCAGGTCGTCTTTGTCTGTGCCAAGTTTTAGGGTTATCTGAATGCAGAAAATGTGGCATTGTGTACGTAGAAGAATATATAACAATAACAGATTAAATGATGACATCATTGTATAGCGTCGCTTCATAATTTGTGTACTAGTATATTTATCTAAAGAGGTTGTGGAATGCTCGAAGACATTTCCGTCATTTTTCGGGTATATGTAGCCTAAGGTGTGATGAAATAAAAACGACTATTGTTTCTGTCATGAAATGAATACAAAAGGTACTTTTGAGAGCTGTTTTTCAGGTCCAGTTTCGAACCGAACGTGCAACTGCGTAAAAGTCGTCGTTGCGGGCAGCAAACAAAACACAGTAAATCGTGACGAAATAAACAGGACTCGTGTATGCTACTCTGCATCTTCACGTCGATGAATTACCCCTAATATCTATTTTTTTTTTTAAATCGATTTGTTTTTATGACGTCGTGATGACGTCGAACAATTTATTCACCAAATTGAGTGCGAATTTCTATAACCTATGAAACCTATTGCAAAAGAATTATGAATTTAGCATTTTTGTTAGCAAGATATAATTATGTTAATTCGTCAACAACTTTACAATTCATATAAAACCACACAATGACGTCAACGTGACGTCACGTCAGTTTTCACCTATGTACACAACAAGTTTCAACCCGATTGGACGTGACATAGACCTCTAGTTGGGTGATCGTGCACAACGGGATCGCCGCTTTAGATTTGTTCGATTAAATCTTTGTTTCTTTCTTTCCATTTTTGGTTTCAGGACACGAATTCTCCGCGGATTTTCTTCTCGAGGGTTTATGATTAAAACTTGTAGATTTGAACATACATCATCCGTGATCCAAAGGTTTGCATATTTGCTTGAACGTCAGGATGTCATGAGGTTTTTTTCGAATTTTTAAAGTTTTTATTTTTGAAAGGTTTAAATTTGTTCATAATTATAATGCAGAAAAGCCGTATGTTCTGTTTATCGAACAGATTTCGTGTTTTTCTTTTGGTTTTATCCCAAATCCTATAGATTTAGTCCATGTTTTATTTTTTTTTGGCACTTTGAGCATAAAACATTTTCCGTAGAAACGTATCATAGGCAAAGACCATATATCAAAGATGGTCCGCAAAGATAGACGTCACGATGACGTCATCACAGCTCATAATGTTCATTAAGCTTGCGTTTTTGCCATTTATATCAGTTCAAATTATAAAGATACAGGGATCCTTTCCCAATTAGTAAAAGGGTAGAATTTCGCATAGGTGTCGGGAATACACGCCATCTAATATATAAAGTACATCTCTTTTGTTTTTAATTAATTAACATATTTCCCAAAGGTTGATTTGGTTGTATTTTCATTACCAACAAAATGTGCCTGTTATTACTTTGTTAGTCTGTGCAGGTTGCACTTAAGCATTACAATTTCCATATACCCTAGTGCTAAATGCCCATACTCCAATATTCTTTTTAAAATACTCAGAACTGTCGTAGGTATTTAAGATGCACAGAAAAGTGATCATCAACATGTCATCGATCATTTTCTTTTTATTTTGTGGTGTGTTAACCATTGACTTTTTGAGGAATTCTCACCATAAGAAGACGACCCCTTTTCTTCCCAAAGTGGAATAGTAGTCATCTTGAAAAACGATCCCTCCACTATATGGCAAAATAGCGCCACTTTTGAGTCCAGTCGCATCTAAAATTCTCAGAATTGGAAGCCCTAAATCCGTGCCAGAGGTTCATTGCCATATCTTTTCAATTCCCCAATTTTATGGCTCTCACAACTCTCTAATATAGAATATTTAGAGGGTATAACTTTTATTCGTGAGCTCGGCGGATGAGTTTAGACCTATTTATAGGTGTGCACCCTTTAATAGGCCCGAAAGTTTGCAATGCCCCCCAAAACCACTTTGAGGGCAACTAGGAAGTATTGGTTATTCATATTCCATCAAAAAAATTGAAAAAAAAACACAATTATCCGAGGTCAATTTTAGGCCCGAAAATGGTGCCCTTTTTGCGCCTGCCAGTTGTAGAGCGCCCCCAACGACAATAAATTGAGTTTCAGCTACTTTGAAGCTCAAAATTCCCCCCCCCCCCCTTCTTAATTACTGTAATCGGCTGATAGCCTACGGATCCCTTACGATTTGGGAGCATCTGTTACGGAACAGCCCTTGTTGATGCCTTTAAAAAACTTTTGCCCTCTCCCCATAGGTTCCGCCCACTCAAAAAAAAACTACTGCCGCAGCATAGCGCATGCGTGGCGCGTACATCGAGTCCAATTGCATCCAAAATGCTCAGAATTGGAAGCCCCAAGTCCGGCCAGAGGTTCATTGCCATATGTCTTCATAACCCAATTTTATGGCTCTCAAAACTCTCTTATATAGACTATTTTGGGGTATAAATTTTATTTATGAGCTCGGCAGATGGGCTTAATTAGGCGCCTATTTACCGGTGTGCACCCCGCAACTCTCTCTATGGTTGCAGACCAGTAAATAAACTGCCCAATGACAAATGCCCGCACTTCAGAAATTCAAAAACAAAATACTCACCACTCTCCAAGGTGTTCGAAAAACATCAAATTAAAGCAAATTTCATCATCTTTCATTTCTTTTCAATTTTTTGGGGAGTTAACTACTGATATTTAGTAAAAATTTCCATCCGAAGATGATGACCCCTAAAAATAGTCCTGAAGCCCATCGCCATTTTGAAAAATGATGCCTACGCTCCATTGCAAAATAAAGCGCTTTTAAGACACCTTGCACAGAACTACAAGCTCACAGTCCTGTGCACGGCTTCCACCCTTATTTTTTAAAAGCGCTCAAGTTCATGACCCACACGTGCTGAAATACTGAAGATTTTGAGGGCATGCACATCCATGATTTGGCCGGCGTTGGCAATTTTTGGGCCTATTTACTGGTCTGCAACCTTTAAAGACTAAAACGAGGTTGTGAAAACTCCCCAAAACCACTTGTACTGCATGAGGAAGGATGGATAACCCATATTTCATCCAAAAACTTCGAGAAAAAAATCTATGAGTTCGATATCTGGCCTGAAAACAAGCCCTCTGTTTGCGGCTGCCTTTCTGTAGGGCGTCTCCGACGGGATTTAATTGAGTTCTAGCTCCTTCCAACCCCCAAATCAACCCCCCCCCCCATTTTTGCTCGAAATTTCTGTAATCGGTCTATCGGCCCCCTTTAGATTTGGGAGAACCGCCATTGGTGACCCATTTGAAACGCTGCCCCCCCCCCCCCCCAGGTCACGCCTCCTGAAAACCACTGCAGTGGAATATAAAGCGCATGCGCACCGCTATTTTGAAAACGGACGATGGACGACGCCATTTTGGAACTGCAGGTTGCAGACCGGTAAATAAACTGTCATAGACCCCAGTGATAAATATCGTAACTTCAAAATTTCAGGAAAAATCCTCACAACTCTCCAAGGTGTTCGAGACACACATCAAATTTAAGCTTCTTTCATCATCTTTTATTTTTCGTCATTTTGTGGGGGTAAACTTTTGACTTTTAGGAGAAATTTCCATTCGAAGATGATCACCCTACACTCCATGGCAAAAAAGAGCGCTTTTAGGGCCCCAATTTCATCCAATTTGCACAGAGCTCACAGTCCTGTACACGGCTTCCACCCTTATTTTCTACGAGCCCTCAAGTTCATGGCCCAAAATATGCTACCAAAAAATTAAAGATTTTGAGGGCATGCAAATCGTGATTTGGCCGGCGTAGGTAATTATGGGCCTATTTATTGGTCTGCAACCTAGCGCCACCTATTGTCGGATGATGTTTGCAAACCGTCGCCCCATTGGGTGGTTATCACAATAGTATTAACAATCTTTCAATAGACCGACACATTATTTGTCACCTAAATAAAGTAGTTAGGCTAAAAAAATAATAGGGCGAAAGCAATAATAATAATGATCTTAATGAATGATTCCTTCACTGAAATTAATTTAAAAATATGTTTTAAATGCGACAGAATAATTTATCTTACAAGATGCGACAAGATGCGAAAAGATGCGAGAAGGAAATGGCCGAGGAGGGGCAGGGGGAGGGGTGAGGGGGAGGGAAGATGAACACTTGACAAAAGAGAGGAAATAGATGGACAGAAAACAAGCACAAAATCACGACGACAGTTCAAATTTCATCGACATGTGACATGTGACGTACATGGCATGGGATTACGACATGACGACATCAATTCAAATTTCATGAATAACACATCATACATGGCATGTGATGATGTCACCATGACGTCACTTAATTGTCATCTAAAGCACGTCCCAGTTTCAGTACATATCGAGTTACAACAAAATTGGACCTATATTTCTTCAGATAAGGGCTCAGAAATTGCCCCTTTAATGTGACGTCACATGACTTGTGATGACGTCATGATGACGTCACTTACATTTCCATCGTCCCAGAATGAGTACACATCAAGTTACGACTATAAAGTCAGACTTGCTGTACTAGAGAAACAAGTCATAGAAAAATTACCCTTTTAATGTGACGTCATGATGACGTCACTTCAATTTTCATCTATAACACATCCCGGTATAGGCACATATCATGTTACAACCAAATCGGACGATTGTTCTTAAAAATATGTCCCTTTTTAATGTGATGTCACACAGAGAAGAATTCACCTTGAGTGTGACGTAACTTGACACCTGATGGTTTCAGGATTACGAATTTCTTCTTGAACAACCTGTGAGTGGTGGCTTATGTGTGTATTAAGTCTGAAGTCGATCGGATTTACTATAGTGCCAAATTGTATTGGTGGAAGAAAAACGTTTACAACCCCATGAAGATGAGTCTGAAAAAGAATAAGAATAAAAAATCGAAAACAATAGCTGTTTCAGCTGAGTAGCCGAAACAGATAAAAAATCTTAACGAGAACAATAGCTGTTTCGGCTGAGTTGCCGTAACAACTAATTTTACGACTGTGCGTGAACGCTATGACAAGAGCAAAAAACTTACGCTGCTGTGTGGTGGGTTCTGTCCAAGCGCCCTCATCGGTGACAGGGCTCACTTGGGCAGACTTGACACCGGTGTAAAAGTAGCCGCGGTTAGGAACCCCTTTCACAATGGTTGCCCTAGCCAGAAAGATTATAAAGAGATCATGGCATGAACTTAACACTGAAAGATTTATTTTGGGTGCAAATTTCCACTCTTCTAACATGATTTTGTTTAAAAGCACTGTTGGTAAAGTGCATTTTTTAAAACACTTAAAATGTGTCATGCCTTCCTGACAACTGAGGGCGCTGTTACTGTAATGTCATATAATGCACACACTCTTCAGTTTAGGAGTTTTCTGCTCAAATTGTGAACACAAACATTTACTCATTAAAAGCACCGGTGTAATTTTGTGTAATGTTGGTGAGTACTATAATGCAACGTCATTTGGATGCGCTACAAAATACATTGTGAATTTGTTTTTAATAATCAATATCTATGGTAAAAAAGTTTTTAATCAAATACCATGGCAACCATAAACAATCGATTTATTTTTAAACAGTCAGAAAATTTATTGTTAGGTCTACGTATATTTATATTGGCAATTAGTTCGAAGTCTCTATGTCCAACTTTCTGTCATCCTGTGGCAGGCTTTCGAAGAAGGGTGCGTGTTCTCTGTGTACTTTTTCTGATAACAGACAGGTTAATCCAACAGGTTCTCTTCAGAACCACGCATACTCACAAAAGAGATATTTCCACATGGTGTTACCGCAAACCTCTCACTTATTGAACAGGCAAATTGTAAAAGTAGTGTTCTTTTCTACTTAAAACCCATCTTTTCTAGATTACTTAATTGCAGGCGCAGATCCAGATGGAGGGGGTCGACCCCCCTGCTTTGACGCAAACAAGCATAACAATTATAGTAATAATAATTATGTCCGACTGTCCGCAACAATCGGACATAAAAAAAGCTTACGGGCCTGAACCCCCCTCCCCCCCCCCACTCCCAACTGCCAGAATTCCTTGATCTGCGCCTAAATTGTTAGATATTTTAAACTAATTGCTTTTGTTTAATGACTTTTTATCTAAGTGTCTTTCTTGCGAATCTGTGGATGTTTAATTGTACAGCCATTTGTGATGTCTTTGTGACGCGGAAAGCGTTTTTTATATTAATATTAGTCATATAATTATTGTTTTAAAGACTTTTTTTTAGCCTGCTGAAATGAACACCAGCAGTTTTTCACTGAAGACAAAAAAACACACTATAACGCGAAAAAATGTATAAACAGAATGAGAAACTAACTAGCATAACAGCACCGTGTCTTTCCCACTAAAAGTGGATAAGAAACGTGGCCATCGGCATCACACAGCAGTCTCGTCTTTCCGCATAGTGAACTAATTAGACACTTGTTGACCCCAAGTGTTGTTTGCCTTGGTCAGATATTAGAATATCGTGATCAATTTAGGCGAAAATAAAAAGCCAGAGTTGTTTGGTTCTTACTTGAACTCGATCGGTCCTTCGTCAAGAGCCGGGGCGTTCCAAATCCCAACGACTGAGGATTTTGCATAATTGTTGGAATGTCCCCAAGCGGACTGAAAAAATGACAAAACAAATATGATGATAATTCGGAGGAAAATCATCTTCAAGGGCATATATAGGATCCTTGCATTTAGGCCAAAAGTAACCAACCGAATTATCAAAAATATTACTTAGATTCAAGAATTCAGGAAACTCTTCCGTCCAGCTTGATGTCATTTAGAAGAAATCAAGGGGCGTACCTGATTTCCAACAATCAGTCCATTGACTGATTTTGGAATAAAGTGCATGGTTTTCACTATTTCTTCGAAAAGTCAAAACTGAATCTTCCTCTTGGGATTTTGAGTGACGTTTTTGTTGGAACGAGCAAACGCACGTACATGTATTTCTGCTACATGTATAAACTTTTAAGTGGCACGCGCTGTCCTACGAAAGTAATCAGAATATAAGTACTCTTTGGTACAATGGGAGACTTTTCAGACGTTAAGTTAAGGAGAAATGACGAAAAAGTGGAGATTCTTTGATTCGAAGAATCTCCACCTTTTGAGTCGTTTCTCCGACTTAAACTACGTCTCTCTCGCAACTATTGTCCGGTTTACAAGGGAACAAAAAGTGTGGATTCTTATTAATGCTTCGAGCTATGAGATGAATTCGATCCAATGTTCAGCAATGGAGAGCTGTGTAAAAGCCTTACTCCCAGCCCCCATTATGCGTTTGTACCGTACTGGATTTTATTGTTAACCCTCTGCATGGGTGCACCACTTTTGTTCCATTCTTCACGATGATGCATGCAGAGTCACATACATGCAGACACCATTGGTGGGTTGTAGTACATACACACCACCTTTGCCTCCTCTCTAATTGAGTTATATACATGTTCATGTATGTTTGTTCCAGCTACATATACTAAATTAAAAAAAAATGCTTTCGATGCGAGCGTACGGGATGGAGGATTTTTAACACCACCCAAAAGGAAGTGAGCTTATTTGTGAAACACTTTGTCCTCTGAGATGAGGACCGCTTACCTTGATATTGTTACATGGAGTACGAATCGAAATATCTCAGTCACCAAAGGAATTATTTTGTTTGGAAATTACATAACATTGGAATATCATCTGAGAAGTATTGATTGGTAAGTTTCTGGCAGTCAATTTGATTATTCTGTTATGTATCTATTCTCTATAATTGTCAACGAACGGTCCCTTTTGTTCTATTTTTACGGGTCATTACTTAAATAACAAAGGAAGGGTTATAGTTAAACTGTTAGTAAATGGGTTAAGACTAGATATAAACACAAAAAAAATTGAAAGCGAAAACGCGAAATTCAGTAAAATTGTTACAAAGCTAATTTTAGAAATAAAAAAAAAATACAAACAATAAAATATAATTTTCAGTTTTAACATTAAAATATAAATAGTACATGTAAGCAAACAAATAAGAATTAAAAATACTGGAAACTAAAAATAAAATTAAAATTTAACTAAAAAGGGAGAGTATTTTATACTATTTCACTTTGAATCGTAATCGTCACCGAAAAAATACAATATCAGAGCGGCAAATTGAAAGAGGCAAAGAGAACAGTCAACTGTGTAGACACAATTCAAGAAATAACCAAAATGCTCACAGGCAATATTAACATAGTACGCTGTAAACAAAAAATCCTTCAATTGAGACGAAAACTAATTACTCTGTAAATTATGCAGTTTTCGGAGAGGTATAAAGTAGTAGCTTTAGCTGTATTTGTTCAAAGTTCTTTGAATTTTCAGTTTTTGTCATGGCAAGCACAAAGATACATGTACTGTACAAGATTCCGGTCCTTTTTCCAAACATACCGGTCCTTTTTCCATGTTTGCGTCATTTGAGTGTGCGCGCTTTAGCTTAAACATGACGTAAACAATTGAAAAGGACCAGCAGTATGTTTGCTGCCACCAACGTCTCAAAAGTCTCCCATTAAATGTGAACATTCCTCAAAATAAAAATAAACATCTCTTCACACGCTTTTGGCTGCAAACAATGTGTCTTTTTAGCTGCAATTTCAGGAACCGCAGTAATATTAGCAGTAAAGGGTGACCCCCAATAAAGTTGTGCATACAGACATCTTTGAAATATTCATAAGATGAATTTGCGTCGGGATGATGTAAATTAATATCAGCGTTTTGCCCTTCACCGAAGTTTAAACAATAGATACTCAGTGTGTTGTGTGAAACTAGCCAAATTCTTAAGAGGGCCGTTTTCGTCATGGTCTTATGCGGTACGGTTCAGAAGTAAAATGTCGTGTAGTACAATGTTATACAAGTGCTACAATGGTTAACATGGACTTGAGCAGTTGAAATAAAGAACATAACTATTACTAGCTGTAATGGATTCCTTACATTTGCAACATTGTGGCACATGAGTAGCTTGGTGTTTGCAGGAGGGCTGGAAAATGTTCCTACGGCAACATCGTTGTCTCGAGCTGGATCGGCCCGTCGAGCCTGAATGAAAAATCCCTTGAACTGGTTGCCACCTAGTCCACGGATTGTTACTATGGTAACGAGGAAACAACAACACTTAATTAAAGACGTTGGCTTATGCATTCTCAAGGCATTGAAAAGTATTATAATAGTGTATTGCCTGTGCTATTTGCCAGCATTCTTTTGTAGAAATATAATTATTTATTTTTCAGTGTGCAATTTAATGAAAAACTCAACCAGCGTTTAATATTTCGTTATTGTTTCATAATAATTTCACAAAATACGATGTATTTGAATCCCGATAATCATTCAGTTTACGATAGGGGCAGGTATCTTGCCTTTAGAAAGCGAGGAAGGGGGTTGATAGGAATGGGGGGTATAGAGCGAAGGTGTGGGGAGGGCATACCCTCTATGGGGGGCGGAGATTGCCGCCGGAATTCAGGAATTCATTCAGATGTACATTTCTGTCTTATGCCTGAAAAATAGCAATCAAGACTATTCTGAATGCTTGAGTAACAGACTGACCGACTGACTCACGGACCGAGTCATCACTGAGTCCAATGTACACTATATATCAAACTAAAACACCAACACGGTCTATGGGGGAAAAACATATACGTGATAGATGTTCAAAACTTATAATGAATGTCTAGTATATCCAATATCAAAGTAGCTACCAAAGAAGCTTCCGGTTATACACTGGACAATAAAGGTTGGAACCATTATTAGCCTGGTTCCCTGACGTCTCATCGATAGATCGTAGGTCAGGTAACGCACCGTTACATTAAAAAAAAAGAGCATGACGCAGCATCTTTCATTTTATGTTCAATTTTTGTTCTTTTATCCAATGACTTTTGGGGGAAAAAATTCCATCCAAAGATGATATAAGCAGTCCTGAATCTCATCGCCATTTTGAAAAGGGACGCCTACGCTCCATTGCAAAATAGATCCATTGGGCCTAATTTCATCCAACTTTTGCACACATGCGAGCTCGCACTCCTCTGCACGGCTTCCACCCTTCTTTTGTTACAAATCTTCAAGTTCACGGCCTTCAAAATGCTCTTATACCGGAGAACTTTAGGACGTGCCAATCGTGATTTGGCCGGTCGCGTAGGCAATTTCGGGCCTATTTACTGGTCTGCACCCTTAAAGGAAGCAAAGTTAAGCAATTGTTCCCAAAATGATTTTTTTGGCTTGAGGAAGGACCCATAACTTATATTTTATCAAAAGATGGGGGAAAAAACTCGAGTTTAATACGAGGCCTGAGAATAAGCCTCCAAGTGCACCTGCCCTGCTGTAGGGCGCCCCCACCAGAATTAATTGAGTTCCATCTGACTCCAAACCCCAAATCACTCCTTTTATTTCTCTCGATCTTGATTGAATAGGCTGAAGGCCTATTTGAGAGCATTCGATGCGAAACCGCCGTTGTTAACCCCGTTGAAATGCTGATGCCCCCCTCCATGTCACGACCACTGAAAAACCACTGTCGCAGCATAAACATGTGTGACAGGTGCGAAAAATGACCACCCCCCCCCCCCTTTACTTTTTTTGTATTTCTTGTATATTTAGTTTCTTTAAGTAAGGGACTATTTCTTTAGCACATTCCATCCACCCACTTCCGTATAAACGCAATCACCTAGTTTGGCGCCACCACACACACTCATACTTCTTTCCAGAGGCGCTAAACATTATGTCTCATCTCCTCTCCGAATTTACAGGTTAATACCTTTGATTTATTTTCATTTCAATTATATACTGTTAATACATTTTGTTACTTTCTCATATTTAAGCATTAGGGTTATTTATTTATAATGACAAGATTGCCATGAAATCTGTACTTTTATGCTAAAACCTTGTCCCTTTCCGTTAGTAAACTTGAGCGAGTTCACTTTTGTAAATATCTCACTTTAACTTTTACTTTTAGTAATGTGTTAATTAATAACGCATTATAGAGAGTTCCTTATTTCATTTACTAAGTTCAATTCATTGATTTGGTGATTTAGATGTAAATTTCTTTAATTTTGATGCGTCCGCAAGATGGCGGCCGTCACGTAAAGTTTTGGCGCCAAACTATGTTTCCTTTAAATGATCTATTATTGCACAATTTTCATGTAAAGCATCCATTAATTGCTTTCCTTGAGAATAATGTCCTTATTTACCTATCGATTGCTTGAGGATGTCAGTTAAGTAACTTGTAAATTACGTTTCAGATTATTTGCTTTTGTCAGACCTTGTCCGCCATTTTGTAATCTTGTTTCCAACATGTCTTAATTAATTTTAATTCTTGTTAATGTTATACTTTATTGTAAAAAGTCACACACACTCATACTTCATTCCAGAGGCACTAAACATATGTCTCATCTCCTCTCCGAATTTACAGAGAATTAAAACACCGGTGAAGACAGGAAATTGCCGTTCTCCTCCGCCCATTTAGTTCGGCCTCATTCCTGAGTGCCACACATGTAAAGCGCATGCGCGGGTCGGGCCATTGTGTCAACCCCGGCCACCCGGGGTGCACCCAAGCAAATACATTCCCATAGACACCAGTGTTAAATCCACATACTTCACATTTCCTATACAAATATTCAGAACTCTCACAGGTGTTCAGGCTAAACAAAAAAAAATTGATCAACATAAAAAACACCCCTAAAACGACTGATGTTTCCCAAACTGGAAAAGTAGCCATTTTGGAAAAAAACCAACCTCCACAACATTGCTTAATATAGCGCTACTTTCTGACCCAATTGCATCCAAAATGCTGAGAATCGGAAGCCCCAAGTTCAGGCAAGAGGTACAGTGCCACATGTCTTTCCCAAATTCCATGGCACTCAGAGATCTCTAATATAGATGAATTGTGATAGTACAGGCAAAATGCTTTATTTTTTGGGTGAACCTCAAACAAATTGCAACAGATTTTTTTTCACCACAGTGCATTTCTATAAGGTCCCTAAAATGGCATACTAAAAGTCTTAACAAATCCAGGTGGTGGAAATATGCCTAATTTGTATAAATAAAAAATGTCCGCACATTTTAGGCTTTTGCACTGATTTGGTCATATTTCATATACTGGATAGCTTTTTGAGGTGTTTTAAACAACATTTTTTAGTCTTTTTACATTGATTTACTCATTATTCTAGACCTTGGTAACTTTCAATATCCCTATGTTTCCAAAATGTTCGATATGCCGATAATAATTTGCATAAATGCCATTTATTAATGTGCATAGAGTAAGGTTAAAATTATGGCTGTCGTGTGTGGACATGTCACAATTAAATTTTCCCTGATAATCTAAGTTCAGTCATGTACATAGATACATTTCACACCATGGTGTATTGCTATAAGTTTCCTTTAAAAAGGGAAGGAATCCCAGTGGTGGAAATATGCGTAATTTACATAAATTCAAAATGGCAACTAATTATACGATTTTTGATTTGGCCATAACTCTCTTCCTGCATTACTTTTTGGGGTACTTTGAACAACAATTTGTCCTTTGACATTGATTTCCATCATCATTCCAGTCCTGGCCGGGTACCTTTTGAGATCCTATGTTTCCTATGGCCTGGGCATAATTTTTTGTTAGGTTTCTAGCTCCTGTCAAAGTTGGTATAAGTGTTGGAAAATTTGATATCCCTGTGTCGAAGAGCGAACCCTTGGGCCGCTCTACTCAGACCAAAAATCAAGGAATAACTCAAGAGAACAGAGAATTCAACACAGGATTCATCAATCGCAAAAATCAAATTATATATATTACGGGAAAGAAGTCAACCAAAAACCGCAAAACTCAATCCGAAAATACGTGGGCGAGGGTTTGATACCCCTCCCACATGGGTGCAAGCCCGGAATTGGTATGCAAAGGGAAAGGAATTACGATTTGCATAATTCACCTAGCATCCACCTCCAAAGTTACACAACACTTTACGGCCGTACACATTTAGTGATTAATAAATCAACTCAGAAAATAAAAGGAATAATTTTAACAGTCTTGTGACACCCTGTACAGGAACTCATTTCAGGGACAAACAAAATCTCTACTTTAAATCCACTAGTACACTGCATATTATAGGGATATCACATTTGGCAACACGTATGCCAACTTTGAGATGAGCCCAAACCAAACAAAAAATATTGTACCCTATTTTTTATATTTTGTAGAAAACAAAAATGGTGGGGTTTAATTTTCATTCAAGTTTGTCTCAATGTTCGGTGATCCACTAGTCTAAGATCAAATTCAAGGTCAAATTAAAGGTCATAATGTCATTATACTTCAAATAACCCCGACATGAAAAACAATGATAAATTTGGATTTCTCATGATGAAACCTTTCAAAAGAAATCAAGATTAACAAATTTGGCTAACAGATTAAAGAGATATGGTCATTTAAAAAAATGGCAGCAATGTCCATTTTGACCAAAATTGACTGGGCGGTAGCGCGAAAACCGTTTGTCCGGGAGTGGCGCTAAAACTTTTCAGCCGACATTTCCCCATAAACTAAATATAAACCAATTTGAAGAGGTTGGGGTTTAAAATTTAAAAGTTTTGGGGGATGATTTGACACTGAATGACCCCAATGTCAAATGAAAAAAATGTTGTTTAAAGTACCTCGAAAAGCAACCTAGGACGAGAGTAACTTATTAGATAGTATATTATGTCGCATTTTTGGCCATTGCATTTTTCTTCGCTAAAAGTAGAATTTTTTGGTCTCATATTTGGATAGAGTTTACCTTCCTAAACTGGAAATCCATTGGTAACATTTTTTCCATCTACCACGTGGCGGCCATCTTGGAATTCAAAATGGCGGCCATTTCGGACCTAATTGTATCTGACTTCCTACCTGACTGTCATATGAAGTTCATTTTGATGGCAAACCCCGTGTTTTGATACCAAGGAACCCGAGAAAATCATTGTTGATGGGGTAAACTCCCAGTGGAGTACCCTATCAACAATGATTATAACCTGGGCTCCTTGGTATCAAGAACATGCAGTTTGCCATCAAAATGGACTTCATGCGACATTCAGGTGCCACCTTATTATTTAAATGAAATCCAAAATGGCCGTTTTTTTTAGTATCCAATATGGCTGCCATCCGTTTGGGATGCCTAAATGTGTTAATTGGATTCCTTGGTGTCAAATTTATGGGGTTTGCCACCAATAGAGACTTCATACGACATTCAAGTACAAATTTAATATGCAAATTAATTCAAAATGGCGACAATTATGAAATATCCAAGATGGCTGCCATCAATTGTGAGTACCCCGTCCACAGTGATTTACTTGAGTTCATTCAAAAACATGGACTTCATAGGACATTCAGGTGCAATGTTATTAACAAAGATATCCAAGATGGCGGCTATTTTGAAAAATCCAAGATGGCTGCCATCCATCTGGGATACATCATCAGCAATGGGTCATTAAGATTACTTGGTATCAAATGTATGGGTTTGCCACCGAAATTGACTTCGTACGACATTCGAGTCCGAATTTATTATGCAAAGAAGTCGAAATGGCGACCAATTGTGCACCTAAAGGGCCAGTATATGGTGCTTTTCAGGGCGATACATGTGCGAAATTCTGAAAAAGGTACCCAAAGCGGCAGATGCCACACAAAAGGGCACCACTTCTTTTTGAAAAGGGCACTTGTTAAGAAAAAGGCAGTCTTTACAAATTATTGGCGGGGGAGGGGGGGGGGGTAAACCCATTGAAAAAAGGGCATTTGAATGGAAAAGGGCAGTCTTTACAAAATATGGGGGAGGGGGTAAAAACAACCTTATCCCCCCCCCCCCCCCCCCCCCCCCCCCCCCCCCCGCTTGCTACGCCTATAGTTGCTTTATATTTTAGGGCATAATTTCATGCAAATGTCACACGAATACGAGTTCGCAGCTCTCCATGGCCGGCTTCCCCCATTTTTTTTTTTTTTACAAATTATGAAGTTCATGGCCCTCAAAATGCTTACACCAGGGAATTTGAGGGCATGCAATAGTGATTTGGCCGGCGTTTAGGCAATTTGGGGCCTATTTACTGGTCTGCACTACGTACCTGTCAATGAACCATTCGGGGTGTACTCGCTAGATGAGGTATCGATAGCGTAGGGAGGATTGTCTTGGTCGTTGGCCAGACTAACCCCAGCGTTGTGACCGGTCGGTATCATGTCGGTGCACAAGCTCGGGTTGCTTGACCCTACCGGTGGTCCTGCGCTGTTGCCGAGGACGGCCGGCACCAGACACACAAGAATTGCGAAGATCATCCTTGATTCCTGAAACGAGGTTAAAGTAACGCCCAAATTATAGCAGGGGAGTGGTATACGCTCTGGCAGGAAGTTCTACATGTTGTGGTCGGTTGGTCGGTTTGTTGGTCGGTCAGTCTGTCTGTCCGTCCCCCCCCCCCCCCAATTGACCAAAAATAATTTGACAAAAAATTTAGCAAATGACATGCCTCGGTATGGTCAAATAATTGCACTCCTGCTGAAAGTTTTCGGAAGACCGGCTTTGTTTCGACCGATGCGCATGCGCGTCTATTTTGCATAATGGCCTTCCCCGGAACATTGACCAAAAACGAGCACCCTTAGTTTCCCATAAAAGATAACTTCCAAATTTAAATTTTCAACAAAAAAAAAGAACGAAATAATTAAAACCTTAACTAAAAATGTCTGTAAACGATTGGTAAAGTTGTTTTAATATGCAAAATTTTGTAAACGAAGGCAAAACATGTGCAGTAATGTTATAATTGTCATGGTATATAGCGCGCTATATACCACGCTATATAGCACATTATATTTTATGGGAAACTAAGGGGGCTTATTTTGGTCAGTTTTGGGGGACAGACTAGCGCGATGGCACTGTTAATCTCCGAAGTGCCAGTGAGAAGTATGCAAACTAAAATAAAAAGCTTATGGGATTTGAGATAAAAGAGCGAGAAATAATTCAACAGACAATGTTAATGACTACGCATGCCGTGATTTTGTTCAGCCTCAAATTTCCAGATAGATAACGTAATTTTTCAAAATTGGGGGTGGGGGAATTCTGGGGGAACAAAGATGACGATCTAAAATTTCTCTACGAGTGGAACCCGGACCCCGCAGCATCCAAAACCACAAATGTCTTGCAGCACGCATTAGCAAAACCACCTTGACCGCCGTGGAATACCCTAGTCAGTGGGACGAGGCCTTTTTTTCGCTAGCCACGCGGTCTGGTTCGCCGAATTTTATAAAACTTCACAGACATGTAGATTATGGTGTACCATATCGGAAAAAATGTGTTCCCCGATTCACAGTTTGTTTGGGAATGTGAAAATCTGGGATAAAAACGTCGAAAATTCTACTTGAGAAAAAAAATAAGAAACAGCGCCCTCTATGACATCGCCCAAAACCTTTTCTCACGAAATGCATGGCCGTACTTCGCTCGTACCCCCGCCCTGCAAACAGGACGCTGGGATACTCTGATGAGCTTCACAGAATCTTGTGAAGGAAGTGGCCTATGACCTATGTATAAAGCATCTGGCTGCAGCTGTTCAAGACCGCACGAGTTCGGGCGGTCTGTTCTTGACGCGAGTATTTTTTTTATAGTCTGGTTCCCAGACCAAAAGATTCTGACTGTTCCCGATGAATCTTAGGTCCAGCAGCCTCCGGTAATACATTGTATTACAATTTACGTCACGTGACTAAAACGGGAGGAATTCCTCCTTTTTTCCGAAAATTTCCGAAGTTTGCCGAATTTGTTTCGTCGACAATCGAATAGCGACCGAGTATTTCCGAATATAATATAGGTTTAATTAACTGCTAATTGCTTATTTATTTGTTTTAATGAGTTGATAATTAATATTCATTGCTTTCATTTAGAAAACTTGAAATTCAACGACGATTTTGTGCTTAAAATATATACTCGGATCGTATGGGCGAACTTTATTGCTGCGTCATGTACAATTTTGAATTTGACGACCGTTACTGAGATTTTCCAAAACTCTGTCTTCATTCGGCTCCGCCTGCTAACAGTGCTATTTGGGTGCCTAATTTTTAAGATTCCAGATCAACATTAGTCATTGTTATCTTACAGAAACATCAAACTGTATTATCATAACTGTATGATATTACGAAGCAAGTGATTTACTTAAAAATTTGATCAGATCGCAAATGAAAGCTAAAAGTGATAAAGCGAAATCGGAAACGAAGCCGAGCTTTGAAAAAGGGCCATCAATGTCGTCATGTTTATTTTTAGCCACGGAGGCTGCCTAACCTATTCATCAGGAATAGTCAGAATCTTTTGGTCTGGGAACCAGACTAGTATTTTTTTTTTTATTGTTCTCGCACTCGAACGGCGCGACGGAAACTCGACCCACTAACACTACACTTAAAATAGGATCTGAAACCACCTACATGACCTAAGTATGCCTGCAATTTAAATATTGTTATAATTTGTTGCAGCCTCAAAAAGGGAAGCGGGTGGACCGTCGGGGATTACTTGTGGTTTTAACGAAATGGATGGAGCAACAACAAAATGTGAATTCTTAAAGCAATATTCAAAATAATAAAAACGATACTCAGCTGAAACAAAATAATAGCAGTCATAATGCTGCCACTCAAAGCTAAATAAGGAAATTTAAGTTCATTTTCTCTTCAAAAACGTTTGCAAACAGAAAGTGGGTCCTTCAATTTCCGATGAGACTTTTGACATGTTATTATACAACAATTGATGTAATCAGTCCGTGATGTTTACATTTTGTCAGTTGAAAATAAACTAGTCAAATGCTCATTCAGTACAGATTGAACAAACTTTCGTCGTCTTAATACCATTCTTCTTGTGTGGGTGAAAACTGTGCATGTTTTAATTGCCCCCCACAAAAACATAAATAAGTGAAATAAAATTAGATTATATTAAATAAATCACGATTAGCATTTCTTTAGGTGATTACGTAAACCAGATTGTACCTGGAATATAAAAAAAGCATTTGCAGTTATTGCCGCCTTTTATTTATGAGTCATTTTTTATAAAAGTGTAATCAAAAATAAAAATCAAGCTAAGTACATGTAATGTATGAGAACATGAAATGTAATTTTTTGAGTGGTTTTGTAATAAGACGCCTTCAATTTATCTGATATACATGTATATAACCCCTTTTTAAGAATTCTGCGTCACTGCTATTAGGCCAAAAAAAAAAGTCTCCGGTTTCTGGTATGGAGCTTGCCCAAAAAGTGGTGCGGCGACGCGGCTTTTTTTTTTTTTTTTACCTGACTTTTTTGCTTCAAATGTCGGCTGATGACTGCAAATGGTGCCCGACTAAACTTAGCGCAAATATATGGGAGTCCAGAGAGGCGACATAAAGCTTATTCTCGATCATAACCCCATCTAAAAACACGTTAAAATTGTGCAGCAGCAGGATTCCAGTCAAACCAGTGAGTTTGGCGGTTTTGAGACATCATCTTTCATTGAAAAAAAACTTTTTCATTTTGCCGACGCGCATGGCTACGGCGACGCGCGCGCATACCAGAAACCGGAGTCTTTTTTTTTTTGGCCTTAAGAAGGGGAAAAGTCTATTAACAGAATTTCATTTATTGATTTTCGACAAATCCCCCCCCCCAAAAAAAGGAAAGATTCTCATCTGGGTATACGGTTTAACTATATAGTTTGTACCAATCAATTTTTATGTGGCTAATATATACATAACATTCAATCTTAAAACTTCAAGTGCATTGATCATTTCAAGATGAACTAGACAAACTGCAATAGAAAGGGCTTGGCATCCTGATAAGAAATAATAACAAAAATCTAGAATATGCATGCCTTGAAGCTTGAAAGAAGTATAGGTTTTCCCGGCTATTTGGGAAAAAAAATCATTCAAATTCAACAACTCTAACATTCAATTTCGCCCGAGAAAAATTCCACATTATTTACCATTTAATTTCAAAGTTTGGTCACCCTCTTTAGTCACCGGGTCGAGAACATTCGTCATTACAGATCAAATTCGTCCAGACTGGTGTGGAATGGCAGCATTCAGAGATCAAATTCGTCTTATATACATGTAAATCAATTAGACGAATTAAATTTCTGAATGACAAGGTTTGGCGTGGACGAAAATAAATACTCCGTGACGAAAACGTCTTTTCATCGTTTGAATTTGCTTGAACTGAATTTGATATTGTCTGACAACAGACAAAACTAAACATTGGAAGTGCACTAAATCGATGTTGATGGACCAATTTGAATACAGTAGAAATGAACGATAAACGTTTTAAAATAGCAGGTAAAACCTATATTATCTGGCAAGTACTTATTGCGTGCGAAAACGTTTCTGACTGGGTGTCCGGTTCACTTTTTTCCTGTCCCAATTACATCTGACATCTATGATTTTATAATTCCGGTGCACTCCTTAATGCAGTCGTCATCCAAAAGTGATGATATTCAACTCCCCAACAAACGGAACTCGTTTGAAGTCACTATTAATCTCAATGAAACTTGAATGACAAATCACACTCAAAGTACAGGGGGAAAAGAACAACACACCTTGTATACCCTAAGCTTATAGATTTACTCTTAAAACTTACCTTGAACGTGAAAATCGAAAATGGTTATTCCAAAAGGAACCCCATAGCAAAGAACTGGTGCTTGAAAATGCTGTTGTGGCTCTCTAAAGCATCCCCTAGTAGTTAGCGATTTTCTGGAGCAAATTCTTCAGTACATGTATTTATTTCCCTTCGTGTAATAGCCGATGCACTCGATCGGGAAGAGGAAATAGATTGGCTTGCAATAGGCCTACCAAATATAATATCTCACTGCGTCGCAGACACATACCCTGGCCCAAGTACAAATGTCAATGCCACCAGCACAATAGATCGTGTTCGCTACTCTGATTTCTTTGTGCTGCATCGTATGTATTGCCAAATTTGGAATTAGTGTGCAAAAGTGCAAACATGATGCAGAAACCTTTTTATCCTACCCTGGAAGATCGGTTGCGTGTGAGGGGAATTGTTACTATCATTCCTCATTGAGTGCACCAGGAAAGAGTTTTGACTGTGTGAAGTGAAACATGTCAGTTTTTTGTTCAGGTCGAAGCGTCGCCATGGAATGAACGAAATGCAGTGCGGGTCAAAACTCAACATACACTCAACCAAAAAAGAAAGTCCCCCTTAATATCTTTTTGTCTAACTCCAAAACTACTGGGCACATCTTGCTCAAATTACGACTGAGAGATGGTCAAAATAACTCGGCCCTAGTTTTAGGGTAAAATCATTAGGGTATGTTTAATCACAAATTATATAT